GGAAAGACGCTTCGGAGAAGACTACTAACAATTGCAAGCACTAGGTGTGTTGGTTTAGCATTCGTATTGCATTAAAGTAATACTAACAGTAGTGGTTTTTTGTTGGGATTCTAAGACAAAAGTATTGCAATTTGTATTGACTGATATCATGCTGAAGCGGAGCCGATATCTCTAAGTTCAATACGTTTTGTGTCACAATTTCAATGCAAAAGCATTGTCGTTTCTATTAAAGTAATGCAATATTGTGTTAACTTAGTAGCAGCTAAAATGCTTTTGCATTAACATTGTAACACAAAACATATTGGAATTGGTCAGAGATATCGGCTCCGTTTCAGCATAATATCAGTCAATACAAATTGCAATACTTTTGTCTTAGGATTCCAACAAAAAAGTGTTACTGTTAACATTAATTTAATGCAATACGAATGCTAAACCAGCACTATTAATGCTTGCAATCGTTAGTAGCCCTGTCCGAAGCGATTTTCTTGCTTTTTGGAAATCCTTGATGCCGTTGGGAGTGCCTGCAAACCCTTCTAAATACCATTTCAAGAACCCATTTGTACGTTTGAGAATAATAACAAAAAACGTATTATTCTTACAACTATTATAATGCAACGCTGATGCTAAACCAGCATCTCTAGCAAACACTTATAAACGGCTTCTGACGACGCACATGAGCATAATTAAAACACTGTAATTACCGACGAAGGGAAGGCAGAATGTTTCCCACCTCCAGAGAAAATAGGAGAGGATACCTGACAGACGCATATGGCGTAAGAAGCACTATAAGACAAAGAAAAGCTGACACACTTCAAAATTTTTTTCGAACACTACTATGAAAAAGGCGATGTGAAACTAAAACTTGATTCAATGCTTTCATTTATATTTATCCATGGCATGAGCTGACAACGAGCTGCATTCGAAAATAACCAAAAACGATCGAAATTTTAACCAGCTATTTCATTTCTTTACACTATTTGAAGGTTCCAAACTGTTTGGATTCAAAGACAAAGGCGGAAAAAATTTAATCAAAAAAATCTCATACTATTTCTCACAACATATAATAAATAAAGATAAGAATATCTGGCTGGGAAAAGAAAAAAGCATAATATGAAAATACTTAGGACACACCAAAAGTAATGGCGTCATCATCTTATTTCGTTAATAGAAAGCTTCAATAGATATTATTTTTCTTACTTAATGATAGAGAAAACGATGCTCTGCTTTTATGACATTTGAACACCTTTCACTTGAAATCATAATAATAAAATTTCCACAAGAGTTGTTTTTGTGTACAGCTTCAATAATCTGGGTAGCAGATTATATGGCCACACTTTGCATGTTTTCCCATTCCAGTTTTCACTCACTTTATAGGTCTTATTGAAAAAGAAAATATACCATTAAATGTGGTGTAAAAAGCTCTACAATTTTTAAATAACAGTCTATTTTATATTTCAGATAAGGAACAAAAATTTCTCTTCGTATAAAAAAAATGATTCTTTTCGGGATAGTCGAATAGAATATTACTTTTTTTGGAAACAAAAGTAAGCAATTAAAATAATCGATCTTATAGAGATTTTAAGGCTTTTCACGCTGCATCTCTTGATGTATTTTGTTTTTTTTAAATAAAAGATATAAGGTGAAAAAACGATGAAACAAGAAAAATCAATTCATCTTGTAGCAAAAAAATACCGTTGGTGCAAGGTTGAAAATTGAATATTCAAAATTTTGCTCACTATGGGAACAAAAAGTGCAACTATAAAATAAATTGTCTTATGTAAATTGTAGAGCTTTTCACGCTGCATCTGGTGGTATATTTTATTATTCTTTTGATACTATCTATTAAGTGATTGAAAACTGGAATGGAAAGCGTGGCCATTGAGTTGGCCTCAGAGACTTCGTGAAGTTGTACACAAAAACGTTCTTATCGAAATTTTATTATTATGATATCAGTTGAAAAATGTTCAAATGGCACAGAAAAATAGAGCACTGTTTTCTCTATCACTATCTAAAAGAAGAAAATCTATTCAACCTTTCTATCAAAGAAAAAAGATCACGACGCCACTACTTTTGGTATGCTTTAGATATCTCATACTGTTTCTCACAATAGATACTTAATGAAGATTAGAAATCACGAAATGAAGCAGGACAAAGCCGTAAGCTGATGGTCATAAAAACTGAGCTCCAAACTGTGTAAACTCCAAATTTGGAGCTCACTTACCCATCCACGTTTTACTCATTGACCTCACTTCAGGTCATCAAGTTCAGGGTGAAGACAAACATCTCAGTACCGCGTAAACTACACATTTTCAATTCCCTGAAGGAACTACCTGGAATCCTAGTAGCATGACCTGGAATGCTAGCAGCATTACCTGGGAAGCTGGTAGCATTACCAGGGAAGCTAGTAGCATAACCTGGGCTGCTGGTAGCATTACCTGGGAAGCTAGTAGCATTACCTATAATGAGACCTGGCAAAATTCCCAAGAGTTGGGAACTCAATCGCAATCGGGAACTCAAAGGTTGCCTGTGTGTCCATGGGGGTCCTCAACTAATACTCTTGAAAAAAAATTTTTTCGACAACTTCTTTTAAATGCATAAACCGATTTTTTGAGAAAAAAATTTTTTTTGAAAACCTGAAATTTTTTCGNAATTTTGTGAAATGGCGGAGGCATGAAGACAATAGCAATAAGACTGAGAGCACGACGCGTGTTTTATGCGAAACGAAGACCTCAGAACTCAGACTAAATTAATGACATTCTATTCAGGAAACTTCCAACTTCTACCACTTTTACTGACTTCATTACCGTGAATTGAGAAAACCAGTACACTTGAAGGATTTCATTACTTTCATGCCTCCGCCATTTCACAAAATTGAGTACACAGACTGACATCAAGTCTAAACCCTTGGCAGAATTAAAGACTTTAGGACTTCCGCTGACAATATGACTCTGAAACTTACAGTCATATACACTTGACGATTTTCACTAGTTTCATGATACTCGCTTTGATAGACATGAACACTGAAGAACTTTGACGAAGTTCAGGAATTCATATTACGAATCTTTCAAAGCTTTACGACTCGCAGCAACTTCTGGAGGAAGATTGTCTTCAAGACTATTCATTTTGACAGACTTGATGACCATGACTGAAGGCCGGACTCCACATTTAAAGAACTTTAAGGATTGAGGTCCCAGCCACCATAACCAACTTCGTATTTTCTCTGATTTCAACTTTCTAGAAAAAAAAACATGCTACTCTCTGGAATATATCAGGCTTCCTGCTGCTTTTGCACCACTTTCAACATATCCTGCAAATGGACGAAACTATTTAAACGTTTCCAAATGCATACAGTTTAGCGTCAACGCATTAAATGCTTTTCCAAACAGAGAAGTTATCCTAGTCGAGAAATTTCGTCCCGGGCTCATTTTTTCTCTTGTCTTCTACTATTAGAGACGCATGTTCAGCGAAATGAAACTCAAATCTAGATTAAGGAATTGCAATGAAGGGTTAGAACAAGCGGATATATATAGATGAAGGTACTAGAATAAAAGTTAGAATAAGGACTTCGATTAAGCAAATAGAAAAAGGAGTTATACTAAGGGATTAGAATAAGGAATTAGAAAAAGAGATTACAATAAGGGAATGAATTAAGACGTTAGAATAAGGCATTAGATTAAGGGGTTAGGTTAGGGAATTAGAATAAGGGTTTAGAATATGGCATTAGATTAAGGATTAGATCAGGGATTAGGATAAGGGGCTAGAACAAGACATTAGATTAAGAGATTAGATTAAGAAATTAGATTAAGGAGTTAGATTGGGAAGTAGATTAAAAGGACAGAATAAGCGGCTAGGATCAGGCGACAGATATAGATTAGTAAATCGTTTCGTAGGTAGGTGCCGGAAACCTTTACAAGGTTATCGAACTCTCGAAAACTTCTACTGGATTTCCGAGGATCTGAGCTTTTTTGATAGCTCTAAAGAGTTTCTAAGAGCTCGGAGAACCATTTCCAGAAATCTACAAAAGGTTTCATATAGTGGCAAATCCGGATACCCTCTATAGGTTTCCAAGGGTACTTTTTTTAAGAGTGTAGGTTGATACTCACAAACACCTACATCCACCCACGCCCACAAACCCACACAAGGCGGTAATTTTTCCCTAATTACGCCTAGTAAGATTAGCCTTGAAAAGTACTTTGAGAAAACACCCCTCACAGATGGGTTTTTGTTCAACACTGTCCTCTATTGAATAGTGAAAACCACAGATGGTCGTGACTTGGTGTTCGAAAATCATAGTCGTTTTTCACCTGTCGTCTTTTAAAATTCCGATACACGGTATCATCTGTTATAGCTTGCTGCATTCTGCTTTGAAAATGATCACCCATCATATGCACATACAAAAACCTGCCTATAATAAGATATGAGGACCAATTTGTAAAAAGATCGAGTCTTTTTCTATATTCTTGGGACTTTCTAAAACGAACTTTAGCCCACGGCTCGCAGGCGGTCGTCACGATTTAATTAAACCTACACTTCGATACCCTCAGAAAATGATTCAACAATTTTTTCTGTTCTTCAGAAACTTTCACTTTTATCTAGAACCACCCTGTTTCCAGATCCTATAATTTCATCTTGAGTGTGATATCGTAGTCCAATATAGAAATGTATTAGATTTCTCTGCAAAATCTATATTCTGCTGAAACTGTTTCTCAACTGAAACAATATGAGCGATTTCGAAGAGTCCTGCATTTCCTACTAACCGTTCTGAATGTAGGACTCAAAGAAGCGTACCTAAGAAAATATATGGGCCTGTAAAGACCAGAATTTCACGGATTTACTACTTTGGAAACGTTCTCTTTAGCTCATTATCTAGAACCAGATTGATACAATATGACAAGTTAAAATTCTATTTTGTACTATAAATGAATAGATTCTCTAGATTCTAGTTGTCTGGAATTATGGAATTAAAGCAATTATTGAAAAATGTTGACGTCGTTTCTCCGATGTTTGATGCTGAGATACATGATATTTGTACCGATCCTTCACAATTAAAAGAAAATTCCCTATTTTTAATCACAGGCGAAGGTTGCCATAAAATTGTACCATATGAAAACCATATGCTGCAGGCAGCTATATTAAATCGAACTGGATTCATTTTATGGGATTCGGAAAACTGGCCGAAGTATGAGGATAGTAGAGAATCGTATCGTTACATCTCTGTTAAACACTACCGTAAATCTTGTGCTCTAATTTGTTCAAACTTTTATGGACAACCATCCAAGAATTTGCTAATGATCGGTGTCACAGGAACCAATGGAAAAACGTCAACTACTCTGATAATAGAACGAATATTGGAATTCTCGAAACTCTACCGGCCACTTCTTATTGGAACACTCTGTACTCGATGCTGTGGCGTCACGATACAACCATCCTATACAACACCGTATTGTGACATAATACAAAAGTTATTACGTACAGCAATTGATAAATATCACGCAGATTCTGCGGTGATGGAAATTTCTTCACGCGGCCTCGAGCAAGAGCGTGTCGGAGGTATTTCATTTGATGTTAGTATTTATACAAATCTGACACATGATCATCTAAGCTATCATACCACTTTCGATGAATACAAACGGACTAAAACGACTTTGTTCGAAGATTTGACTAAATCCTTTGCTATTATCAATCGTGATGATGATTATGCACAACATTTTATTGACAAAACAAAGAAGACCGCAAGAGTGATGACATATGCGATTGCTCGAAATCATGACACAGACATCTACGCAAGTAACATTCAACTAAGTATCCATGGTTTGAACTTTGACATAAATATTCCAGCTACAAATATAACGGAACATATTCATATTCCATCTCTGATCGGAAAAACCAATGTTTATAATTCGTTAGCTGCATTAGCATGTGCACATTTGGCACTTAACATTCCATTGGATCTATGTAAGGATGCTCTAGTAACCATGCCTCCAATTCCAGGCCGTCTTGAGTTTATTACCATGCCACATGACCCGATTACAGTGATTATCGATTCTGCACATACCCCAGATGGCTTCAAAGAAATACTCAGTACAGTCAGAGACTGCATACTGAGTAAGAGTTTGCTCTGTTTATTTGGTTGTCGGGGTGATGTAGATCAAGCAAATCGTTCAATTAAAGCTGCAATTGTTCGCCAACTATCAGATAAAGCGATCGTTACAACTGATACTGCAGCATCCGAAGATCCCAAACAAATTATTCAGGATATTTTGGCAGGATTTTCTTCAACATCGAACAGTGATGATAATATCATCATTGAAATTGATCGAAGAAAAGCAATCGAGAAAGCAATTTTGTCCGTTATGCAAGATGGTGATACATTAGTTATATTAGGTAAAAGACACGATATCAATCGAATGCTTCAAAACCGAATTATTGATTTTGATGATCGCATAGTTGTCAGAGAATGTATTCAACAACGTATTCAGCGTAATTCGTAGTAAATGTTTGCCATCTCTACACATATTTGTGTACAACTCGAGCATGAACATTATAATTGCAACATTTTCATTCAAAAATTTCTGTGCGGGTGTAGGTGTGGGTAGGTGTGAGGGTGTGGGTGTGAATGTGGATGTGGGTAGGTGTGAGGGTGTCGGTATGGGTGTGTGGGTGTGCATTAGTGGAAGAATCATATCAATACCCACACCGACACCGACATCCTGGAACATCTTAGCCACTTTTCCCAGTATGATCGATAAAAGATGACTTGATTTATGGTTGTGCAAGTTGGTAGGTGACTGAATGAAAAACACCATGACGAACTGAACATTTGCATTCAGAAATTCTTCCATTATGGGTAAGGTTGAAAGTTTAATGGATATTTTTAATATATAAACACTTAATCGTCTTTGTTTAATTCTTCATTGAGTGACGGCGTAGTTTTCGAGAAAGTGAAGTAAGAAAATGAGTATTCAGTAGTGAAGTGTAATAGAAAAGAGATCACGTCATGATTCAACCATGTACGCTTATGTTAAAAATTGGATCTTGCTCCCCTCTTCACTGTTCAAATCCACTTTTGATACATTAGTGTAACTAATCGTTTGAATTTAACATACTTTTTTTGGTTCAATATTAAAGAAGGTCATTTTAATTCTCTTCATTGGAGTAAGCAATCTCGCGTACTAGGCAAAGCTTAGAGCAAGAATCCGCGAAACTTCGATTAGAGACACAATTCAAACCTAGGAGAGAAGTTTTGACACAAAGTTGTAAAACCTTTTTATCATGGATAGCGTTTTTTCTCAGATTGATGCATGCATTTTGACTTCAATTCAATTGCACCTAGTATTTTTCCATTTTTTAAAATATCGTTAAATAGATTCCACCTCATTTTTATATTTTAATCCAGCAGGGATTATGTAAAAAAAATTTTGAATTTCTCGGGCTAGCACAGTACTGAACAAAAAGAGCCGATGAACGGAATAATAAGCATTATTCTCTATTTAGAAGTGTACATTACTGTACATCAAAGGAAACAATATGACGTCATCAATTGGAAAGCACTTTCGCGTTGCTTATTGTGGTGGTCGCGCTTGTCCTAAATGCTACAAATGCTCTGATTGGTACTATGACGCAGCAAATCATAATGATTGTGATCCTGATCCCCGTGTCTATGCTCATCATCTTGGACCTCTAGTTGGTTCGCTGTATAGATGGCATCGTCATTCTGATGCGACTTGTGGTTATCGCTCATACCCTCATTATGTTTATTATGGTGCATATCATGGCGTTCACTTGTGTGATCTTAAGAAACCATGCTGTCTTCGTTATAAAACTCAAAGTGCGCATTTGTACCCAAAACTAGCTGTCCATAATCAACCCCGCATATGCCACTGCTCATCAAAGGATTGAATATTTTTTATTAATTGACTTTTGTTTGTATGTTTTGAAATTTGAATGCATCAAAATATAATCGAAGGATTTGAACAGATGTTATAGGTTTATGAAATATAGAGAGTCGACATGAATGAGGGTGAAGAAAATATTCATAGGCACTTGCATATTCTAGAACTTTTTCTTGGAATGATCAAACCTGAGACTGCAATCACTTTTTCAGATGAGTCATATAATGAATAGACAAAAAATAGCCAGAGTACTGTTTTCTCCAGCACGATTGATCAGAAGATGGATGAGTATATGACTGTGAAAGCAGGCGAGTAGATGAATATAAACAAAGTGAAGACCCGCATATTCACACTGACACTTAAGATCGACACCCACACCCTCTACAAACATTCACCTTGCTCTGTCGTTTCAAAAATCCTAAATACCTAAATCTTGCTCAAGAGATAATACTTATTTGATTATATTTGTGAGATTTTAATGCCGGTCTCTTACCTTGCACTTTATTTGGTTTCTACGAATCAACCAAGTGAAGTGAAATATGAAACGAAAGCCATTTCAAATGCGTTTCCATACTTCTTGTTAATGAAAAAGTGGGTGTGGTGTGGGTGAGGGTGCGAGTTTGGACAAAGCGAACACCCCATACCCACACCCACCCACACTCGCACACACATCCACAAAGCAACACATTGTAAAAAGCTTGTCAGCGCAACCTCTTCAGAGCTAAAATGTGGAACTCATGTATTCCGTGTAAGCGATAACACAATCTAATATAACCAGTTACAAGAGAAAAAGTATCCGTTAAGCTTTGGAGCTTCTTTCTCCCGTTGCGAAATGGTATGAATCCAATAACCTGTAAAACATACCTCCCATCAGTTGCTAGAGAAGCATTTGTACTCAATGGCCTTTACCTCTGATTCCCATGGTAACATACCTGTTAACAAGCAACTCCCGACATTACTCGGGAAACCTACACTGTTACACTTGTTGAACATTCCTCCCCCTATTGCTATGGAAATATACTAGGAGATCTTTGGTCCTGGTTGCTATGCACAATATGTGGTAGGGGTCAGTCGGAAAACTTTGCCTTAAAACTTATACTCTCTATGTTTCTTCATAAAATACGTGAGTTCCACAAAAAAAAGAGGAGCCTAACTGTATCGGAGGTGAGGTAAGAGAAAATGGGGAAGCGTATGAACACAACAAAACACATATGGATAGCTGCGCATAACATGTACAAGAAGAGTATATGCACTTCTGACCACTGCCAAGAGGTGCAGGAAAAGAGAAAAAAATGTAAGTTACATAAGAAGAATAGAAAAAGTAATGATATGGGTAGCCGAAGGTAAAGGTCATAACAATCTGCTCCAGTCAAAAAATATTTACTTAGAAAAAGTCGGTTATGAATAAGTGTGATTGAAACGATTGATGGTTACAAGCAATAACAATCAAAAAAGAAGACGAACTCGTGGAAAAAGAAGGCCCATTGAAGAAAAGTTATTCAAAATGTGTCAATTTAATGATGAACATACGTGTACCGAAGAATAGTGTGACGATACACACACTGAGATGACATTGGACAGATTTAAAGGCGAAGAAATTTTTATTAAATTTAAAAAAAAATAAAGTTTTTTGGAAAAGAATACTTTGTTTTAAGTGAGAGTACGGTACATTTCTAGAGAAAACGTAAAAATGGGTCCAGTTGAAAAGTGTAAACGAAGAATGTATTTACCTTTATCGAATGACAGACACTGCACAACTATAGACACGTTTCTTTGACAATTTGCTCGTCAGTTGCCTCTTGTACAATATTTGAAGATGTACGACAGAAACGACTGAAAATTTTTAGCTTAATCCATTTAACTATTTCTATTTCACGAAATAGATTCATATAAACATTTGAAGGACAAATATAGATAAAGAATGTGAGGGCTAAAGGCATATACAAAAGAAAGTCGAGAGCAATATGTAAACGCAGATAAGATCTTTGTCTACTTTTCTTTACACAAATTGTTCCGGCAATGTTTGTCAGTAAATTTTCCGGAAGTGTACAAATGATAATCACTAGCGGTGCTATAAAGAAACCTTTGTGCTTCAAAATTTGCTGTATTATTAGTGATTGCCATGAATTTCTTTGTAAGTCAGTGAAAGTGATTTTATGACGAATAATATGTATTAATGTGAGGGCAATTGATAAAAAGCTTAATAACAACGGTGTAACAATGCGTGCATAGAAGCTACCCACGACGCTATGAGCTGTTTTTAAATGATCATTTGAAAAATGATGAAATGAACAGACGTATGATGCTGTTGAAAGTACAGGACTTTTCCCAACAGTACGTCCAAGAGCGTCTATTACACTTTCTGAACAGGTATATACGAATAGAATGATTAAAAAACAAACTGAATACTTCCGTGTACGATAAAGACTACAATGGAAAAATTCAATTAATACACGCTCAACAGCTATAAATGCACTAAGCCATAGACATATGTGGTACATTAGATTCATAAATGCTGGCATGATTGTACAATATATGAGTGGATGGTTCTGTAGTTCATTATTGTAAAATAATGTTACAATTGCATTAATTTCTAAGAATGCTACACCGATAAAACTAAAAATCGAATAAAGGACTATATACAAGCCACACACTGTAATACGTATTTTTTGTATAGAACATGTTAAAAGAGTTAATAAATTATTAATAAACGATAACACTGTTAGAAGGGAGCACATGAAAATAAAAAGAATCTTTAATGCGATTCTAGTAGAAGCTAATTCTTCCAAAAGTGTATTAATTAACATCGATGATGACATGAAATATAGTACATAGTAATAAATATTTTCACAAAATTCACCTCCTGTACAATCAGTACAGACGCAGTAATAGTTTGATGTTTGATTATTCATCATACACTGTCCATTATTTAAACATTTACATTCACTCATTGTGAGATGTTCATTAACGTGTGATTGAAAATTTCAGATTGTCCTCTCAGTTCAGTCGCTTTTGCACATTGAAATATATTGAATTCGAAATTGTGATCGATCTGCTATTTTCCTTTGTTTCTAGAAAGTTTCCAGAAACTTACTACACTGTTAAAATGGCTCTTTTCATAGTGTCTATAATAACTTTACCAAACAAAGGTGATGAATTTCATAAAAAAACGTCTTATTTTCAAATTTTTATTAAAGATATGGTGCTATCATCTTTAAAAAATTGTCTTCAAAGTCGATCGATTGTTTTTGTGTCTAATACTACTGAACTTCTTTCTGTGTTATTTGTTTAGAAAATCTCTAACTTCTAAAATACGATGTTCATAGACAGAGGAAATAGAGCAAAGATTTCTTCAGGTTTCTATATATTTTCGAATTTAGTCACAGTCATACTCTCTAGAAAAGCACCTATCCTCGGAAACCTTTAAAAGGTTTCCGACTTTGTTACTATCTACAACCCTATAAGAGTTTCTAAACAAGGGTTTCTGAGCTCTCGGAAATTCAGAAAAGTCAGTTGTAGTAATGTTTGAGATTCTGATTTCGAAAACAGATTACAGGTTTCTGAGCTCACAAAAACCTTTAACGTAATATGCCAACTGAAACTCTGAGGTCGACTACACAGATCTCAACACTTTGAAAGACGTAATAGAAACTTTATCGAACATATCGAAAACGATCTATTCAGAACAGCGGGAAGAGAACAACTAAAATGAAGATGGAAGTAATCAATGTTTTCTCATATCACTTAATATTTTAGTTTTTATCGATATGAACCTCAAACTAAAAAGAAATAAAATACTCCTGTTCTATGTGTTATTTATAACTTACCATTTATTTTATATTGATATGGGTCTTAAAATTAAAAAAAAGAAAATATTAATTTTGCATTCATTCTATGTAGTTTACCACTTCTATCATATCGATTGGAGCCTAAAAATAAAAAATTAATGAAATAGTAATTTTCTATTTGTCATGCGTAATTTACCAATTTCTATCATATTCATATCAAACTAAAAATAAAGAATAAAATATTCTTTTTCTATTTGTTATATGTAACTTACCACTTGTACATCTTATCGATCTGAGCCTAAATATGAAAAAAAAAAGATTAGTTAGTTTCTATTTGTAATATACAAGGTGTGTAAAAATGTTTTTCTAGTGGGATAACGCTGTGGTTTTAAACAGCATCAATAACAAATTTTATACCAAATATAAGCGTGTCAAAAATGGGATTTATCAGTATTAAATTGTAAGAGTTCTGTCAATTTTGGGTGTGGATTTAGTTCATCGAATTCAATAACCATAGACTACATCCATACCATCTGGAAAAGTTGTATGTTGATTTCACAGTAACGTGAGACACTACATCGAGTACACCGAAGCGTCCCGAACAGAAATTCAGAGCAAATGACTAAAGTGATTAATGTTGGGTATGAAGGAAGAAATAACATGAGCTATCATATATTCAAGGTTTAAGAGCAACTTAACATCTCTAGACATTCATTTTAACTCATGTTATAAGATCCTATAAAGTCCACTTACCGGTATGAATAGTCTCACAGCTAGGGGAGCTGGCTTAGCATTAATGTTAAGAAAATGCTAATGCTAAGCCAGCACCCTCTACTCACAACGCAAAACCTTGACGAAAATATGATTTTTTTTATACCATTCAATGCACAGCGAGCTGTTTGCCACAACGATATATATGGTTCTACATTTGAAGTGAGATCACCGAATCTGCCATGGATCTTTCTTCAGTCTCTCATTCTTGGTCAAGAAAGTTCTTCAGTGTCAAGGCTCAGATGAATTTTAAACAGCTCAATGACATATACGGCATCGTGTATCTTGACAACACTTTTATCCATGTTCTCCATCAATGTTGCATTATCTGATAAATAGAAGATTTTCTTCCACTTATGTAACTCGGCCACATCACAACTTCAACAAAGTCAATCGATGAGATAGTGAAGCTCAGTTTAGAATCTGAAACTAGGTTCCGAGTTTTCGACTGCTGAAATGGACTTTAATTTATTCATGTTTTTTTTGAATAATGCTACAATTGAGTTCGAAAAACAAAATTCAACAGAATCTCTTGTAGAGTATGATTCAATCAATTTTTTCTACACCTTTGATACGATTCGCACTTCGACAAAATTTTTCTGCTATTAAAGTTCATCAAACCCTTTTATATAAAATGCCTACATTTCATTCAACATTTGCATACTTAACTTACTGCATGGTATCGCATACAACAACAAGATAGAGCCATCACACTGTGTCGAGATCCACGAATATCGAATGGAGAATACGATCAAGTGAAAAGAAATGAAGGCGATCTCAATATCAATGAGGAATTTTCTGTCGATGGCACTCATCAGAGAGATGACTTTAGTGTGCACTCGTGAATCAAACGAAGGGAAGACAGTTGCTGTTTTTTTTAATTTAAGTATACAAGTCGAACCGTGAACCGATCAAACACGTTAACGAAAAGATTGTTGAATATACAAAAATTTTTTCAGAGATTCTCAAGAATCTGTTTTACTTCACATCTTGCATAATCAGTCGGCTCATATCCTGATTACTTCCGAACATGGATATGGGAAAGAGTCCTTACAGTTTAATAAATGTCTCCTCATAGAAAGTAGATAGCGAACTAAAGCTTTTGGTGGACATTCAAAAGAGGAGTAATGATCGCTTAATCCATATTTGAATGATCATAGGATTAAATGGGTCTCGGGAAATACAGGATGCTGATGGTACATGATCTTGCAACCATGATACAAGTTCATCTTTCGTCGCTGTTGATAATTGATTGTCACAGCAATTGTCTTCTTGACACTGAAAAGTCAATGCTCAAAGATTCGGCATTGTATTTATAAGATTAAGTATACATGATTGACTTTTTATATTAATCTGAAGAACTTCACATTGACAACCGAGAGGTGAATTAACCAACTCAGAACAATCAGCATCATTGAAGTATACATGAGTGAAAAATGAAGAACGGTTTAAACAAAGTCGACGAATTGATTTATTGATAATTTGCATTTATGACAATTGGAAAGCTGAGTATTCATCAACAGTTAGCGAATAGAGACGAAGGGCTCGATTGATCAAAGTTTCCAATTCCGATTCTGCAGCATCCTTGTCAAGGGACACATCCAACGAAGTCAAATGATCTAGTGTCGAAATAATAAACCAAATACTGTCATGTATTGGAAGAAATATTCGTAGAGGAGCAATGTTCGGGAAGCGAACAGGAAGTAAGGAGAAGTTTTCAATTCTGTTTCCAAGCCGAAGTTCGTGTACACATTCATAAGTCCAATATTCTCGATCATCAGAACAAGTCGATTTAAACCTTCTATTCGGATTCAAACCATAGAAATTCTCATAGAAATCTGGTAAAGTATACAGATAGATATCATCATCTCCGTTCTGTGGATTCTATTCACATCGGACGAACCAATCATGTTTATCAAGCCAAAATGAAGTTCGAAATTTATCTATTAATTCATCAATTTTGCTTTCCATTCGATTATTATCACCAATTGTAAACGACATTCGAAGTCGAAAAATCTTGATGTTAGATAGTTTATTGACAATTCCATGTCTCCACTATTAAATGACGCAAATGAGGCATATTTTGAAAAAGGTGAAATATTGAAAATTGCGAATTACGAACGAAAAATGACAATGTTGTCATCGATGTGTCTATATTTGGTAGTGGTTCGAAATATAAATGGAACGAAAGATTTGCATGAAAATGTTGTAAACGTGGTGTATGTTCGAATAGATTATACACATCTCGTGGATAGATCTCCATATTTTTTATGGATAAATACTCAATTGATAATGAAATTATTGTTGGTCCGATGAATGAACGATCAGGAGCATGTATAAAATCCAGATCACAATGTTTAAGTTTTGGTAGACACCATATATTGTTGAGCAAACAAACAATATTCTGCTTACCTCCATAGCCATAATCAGTCAGATTGAAACACACAAGATGAGCAGGATCATATGTTTGTATTAGCATTTTATTAAGTTGCATTCGTGGAAGAATATGCAAGAGTGAAAGCGACTGTAAATGAATGAATCAATCGCGAGTGAAACCGTATGTAATGAGATGTTCACATATGTTTAGAGTCTCGTCATCATTCGAAAGACGAAGTGAAACAACTCGATCGAAAATCAATGGTAGATATTGCTCACACATAATATCCATGATACGTTTAGATATTTATCGAAAATCGCGATGGTAATCATACTCTTCGAAATGGATAAAGAGAATTGCAACAAAGCATGAGTTTATGCCATGAAAAGCACAAAGAAGATGAATAGAATCAAGAAATTCGAACAGTTGGAAGAGCAACTCATTTGCCAATGATTCTAGTTTCATCACTTTTTTCTGTTCATAACATAAGAAACTGATGATTTCGCATGCTTTTATGTGACGAACAACAAATTTTCGTAATTATTGCTTGTCACATTTGTTTTCGTTCTTTGTCGAGCATGGCAATCAATATTCATTGACGTAATGACATCATTACGTTTCTTTTCTGCTGATGGTCGACACTCAAAAATAGGTCGTTTTTGTGTTGGATTTTTTTTTCTTTCACGTTGAGAATAGCATGATCAGATGAAAAGAAAGTGAAATTGACTTTATTCATTCATTCATATTACACATTACAGTTTTACTTAAGACAATAAACTTCTAAAATCACATCAAAAGGATCATGTGAATGCGTATGTATAGTGAGGTATTGCTGATATTCGTTTTTTAATCATAATAGTAAGGATCTGGGGTGGGTGTGGATGTGGATCGATGTGAAAAAATAGAAGATACACACTCACACCCTCTGTGAACGATATATGACTTGTTTACACAAAACACAAGTGAATAATAGCCCACTAGGATATTAATGATTCTATAGATCGTGTAGCTCTACTTCGATGGTCTGGTTCTAGTATTCGTAATCTGATTTAAGCACTTTCTAACGGGAGATCAGAATTGCAGTATAATGATTTTTTCCAATGTAGTACATTGTGCAGAAAACCATAGAAAACTAATTGTACAAGTAAAGATTCAACTGAACGAAAATGTATTCCTCTGTTTCATTGTGCATATTCATTCTTCATAAGTTCAGGGTTAACATTTAAGTCATGATCATTATTGCTACAAAATTACATTCAAACAAACCATAGTTTACCTTCGAAACCACACATATCTTTAAGTCGAAAGATAGATCCTAACATGTGATTAGTACTGGTGCTACAGCTAAATCACTATGGTAACTTCTATTTACAAATGTTTTTTTTTTGCACAATGACCTTAGGATCAGTATCAATCAACAACAGTACCTGTTTGAAATCATTCAAGTCATCATTAAACCTATCAAAATATGAGAAAACAATTGTACTAGGATCTAAGCGAGTTGAGAGAAGCAGTTTTTCTATTGACTGAAATTCCCCTTCTGACGTAGAAAAGTCAGAGAAATGAAAGTTTCATTATAATAATTTATTTTCATCCATGACTAAGCATATTCAATTGATTAAAGTTCTTTTCACTTTGAAATTAACGTTAAACTAATTTGAAAAACATTAGTTTTAATAAAAGATATAATGTTCAATTATAACTGATTTGTATTATTTCTGAATGAAGATTGAGAGTGAGTGTAAGGACGTGACTGTGAATGCAGATCCATGTCAATACTAACACTCATAAACCCTTAAATTCTGTTATTTTCATTGTTCTTTATTGTGTAAACATGTAAAAAGTTCGTTTTATACATGTTTTAATTCTCAATTTGTCTCACAGATATATAAATGCTCGAAAATCTGAAATTCAATACGTGTTTTCATAGACATTTCATCATCATGATCGAAAAAGTGATCAATAGTTATGTTAACACTCTCGAAAAGTGCTGTTTGAACATTTGCCTTGTCGGAATAAAATCTTTGCTCTCATTTTCAATCAGAATCTTCAGCAATTACAAAATTCGTATTGTATAAACGAAAAATATGCATAAACAGTAATAGACGATGTTAACCAAACAGTTGGTGTCCATATTATTCTTTTCTATTATCCTACTATTTATCTTGACACTATTGCGTGATGTGCCATTGAATCAATTAATAAAATATATGATTACAATGAATAAGAAACTCATTTCATGTTTTATTATTGTCTATTGAATTTTTGATAATACTAGCATGTTTGAGATGCTTAATTCACCTCATCTCATTATATCCAATCTCTTGTTAATTTGTTTTGTTTTTCTTGAAAACTCAAATGGATGGAATTTTTCACCTGCGTAAAATAATTTAAGTGTCTTACTTAGTTTTCTCTTAGATTAAGGTTCACGATAAACAGTCATAGCAGAGAAGAGAAAGAGAAAAGATTATAAAAGCAACATTGTTGTGTCTGAATGTGATTCTTTTTATTTTTCTATCTCTATCTTCTATAAATCTTTTTCTTTCTGTTGTGTTTGAGATTGACTCTTCCTTAGCTAGAATAAAAAGTCTATATGAACATAAAACTCAATACATTTTTTTTCTTGTGTTTTGTGTGCTTTAATGTAACATTTTTTTTCCATGCGCATGTTTATTTATTTCACTTGTTGTATCCAAAATTCGTCCAAGTTGATTCGTGGATGACTGAGTTTGCAGGTAGATATAGAAGAAGCCTGATATATATTTACCATTTTCAAGCTTTTGTTTTTCAATTTATTGTCTACGTAGAAAATAAAAGAATAATAGTACGAATATTGTGTGCGTAGAAAAATATGAGTTCGGTGTATTGCACAATACTTAGAATAGAATGAATGCGAACAACAGAGAAAACAACACGAGTATATATGTCAGAAGAACATGCAAATCCAAGTTGGAAAAGATAATGTATGATGTGAATGATCAACTATTCTCCCTATGAGCAAATAGACTGAATAAACGAAAACCGTGAATTACACGTTTATTCCAACCGAGTTTCTTCTTTCTTTCCTATTTTAAAAAGGACATACTACTGTCGACCTCAAAAGTCTCGCCCCACTTTTTTGTTTTAAGTCGTGTATTAAAACTATACAACATTAATTTAATTCAATTATATGTTTCGATAGCAGAGATCGAGTAGTATATATATATACACCTGTTCAATTCGAAATCTCTTGAATATGAAATACAATAAGAAAAACTAACTTCAGTACTAAGAAAAAAATGACATAAAAAACTACAAAATCATAATAAAAATGTTTGGAAGACTTTTTGTTTTGCAATAGGAATTTGTTTATACGGCTTTTCTAGAGCTTTGGATGGCGCATCTTTTGAAAAAAAATCAAGATGCTATCATTTTCTTAAGTCGAGATACATGCAAAATATAAAAGTCTTCCAAATATTTTTATTACGTTAAATACTGTGGGAAGTAGCCCTATCATGTATTTTCTTTTCATTTCGAGTATGAAAGAAACCATCAAAAGAAGTTAATAGAGTTTTGTTCTTACAGTTTTTGTAGAGCTTTCCACGACGCATCTTTTGAAAGAAAAAACAAGATTTTATCATTTGTCTGTGCAGAGATTTTCGCAGAGCACACTTAGTTGCAAACATTTTGGGACACCCAATATTTCACAGTATTTAATATTTTGACTATAATACCGTCATTTCTCAATGAAATTCAAAACGTTTTTTTACCAAAATGATCAGTGAAAAAAGCTCTACAAAGTCTGATAAAATGGAAAATTTTCTAAATACTTTGTGTTTTTCGTGGTTGATTGACCATGGAAGTATCCTATAGCAACAATATCATTTTGTAGTTTTTTATGTCATTTTTTTCTTAGTATTGAAGTTTGTTTTTCTTATTGTATTTCATATTCAAGAGTTTTTCGAAATTGAACAGGTGTATATATATACTACTCGATCTTTGCTATCCAAACATATAATTGAATTAAATTAATGTTGTATAGTTTTAATACACGATTCAAAACAAAAAAGTGGGGCGAGACTTTTGAGGTCGACAGTAATTTTCTATCACCTGTCTCGAAATATCATCATCCGGTTTTTTTTCAACTTCGATTAGTTACTACTGTATTTAAAAAATTCATTCAAACTGCATTGATATAGAATGTTAAAGCATACTATTTGTGAATCAGTTTTTATTTGAAATTTCAAAATATTTCAAAAGGAACAGTCTCACGCATATTTTGAATCATTGTTTTAGCTCTTAGTGAGATCTATGAATCCTGGAAAAATGTTTCTTTTTCAATGACGTAGATAGAGGCAGTTCTGTATGTGAAGGATAGTTTACTATTGAAGAGAGAAACATTAATTCCATGGAACAAGTTGTTCCATAATCGATTTCAAACAGAGTCGATTTATGCACCAACCATCTGCCGTGTTTCCGACAACATTTTTTCGTGATCTTTTTTTGACATGATTAGATAGAACATATTCACTTGTCTAGGAAAAAATAGTTCTCTATTGTTTTTTACAGTAAGATTTGATAGTACGAACTCGGCGAGTGTTGGAATTTTATATTCTGTTAGAAAAGCAGTTTTTTTTTCTTATAAACTACAATACATATCATCCTACTTGTTTAATTGACCGTCGTAAACCTGTTTACTGACGCTCTATATAAATTGAGTTAGAAATATAACTTTCTCAGTTTAAATAGCCGTCAACGTAAGTATAGAGCTTTGGATAAATAATAGACGTATATTAGAATTAATTATCTGCTATCGTCGTGCAATGTAGTTAATTGTTTGGTATGTACAGTATTATTGTGCATTAAGACGAACAACATGGATATCATCATATGATAATACAAACTATTTTTAGCAATAGAATATTTCATTTAAAAGAACCTAGTAAAATATTTCATTCATTGTTTATCAGGACGAACATATCAATGGCATTGTTATTGATTTACATTCATTCTTTTCTAACGAGAAATAATGTAATGGATGTTCAGTATTTTAAAAAAATGGCAATAAGAGAAGTAAGCATGTACAACAGAGAGGAAAATATTGAATAGATACTGTTTTAATCGCTGTTTAGTTTTTC